CCACCAGGGGCCCGACCGAGGGCCCGACTGGGGGCCGTAGGGCTGGACGGAGGGGAGCCCAACGGGGCCCTCGGGGGGGAGGTGGAGGAGCAGATCGAGGACTGAAGATCGAGGGAAGCCGGAGTCTGTTACCATGTCTGTTACCACGGTTACCACGACCACGCGACCTCCGTCCGGACTGGGAAAAAAGGGGTTCGTCCCTGAAAAATACGGAGCTGATATTGTACAAAATGTAAATCTGGAGACATATTTTTTACTCATTGTAGGTCGTGTCAGCCCGATTCTTTAGTTTGAAACCCGAGAATAACCCAGAGTAGATTATTAGAACACAGGTAAAGTACATAAGCGAGGGGAAAGATGGAGTCCTGATCCGGTTGTTGTTGTAGAAACAGTTTTCTGTCCTTATGAAAGTAAAAAAAAAAAGAAGAGTTTACTTTGTTTTTATCGATCGAACTCACAGAAGTTCTCAGTTATTTACTCCTTTAAAAAGACTTTTTCGTGTTTAAAATGCCAAAAAAACCCATCTAATTTCCTACTTTACATATTTTGTTATATACGAACCACCAAAAAAAAGTTACTTTTCTTGTAATGTTGATTTGTAATTGATGTGCAAGTGAAATTACTTTCTTTATTTCTGGTTAAAACTGGAAAAAAACGAGTGTTATTGGCCAATTAGCTCTGACATGAACCACCTGCTAATTCACGCAGATTTAATTTAAATGTGATAAGAAAGTGTTGATGTTGACCTTAAAGACGAGTATCTACTGTAACAGAGAGAGAGAAAAGAATCTGTGTTTACAGCCAAAGAATTTACACAAAAGTTTAGATCTAAAAGGAACAAGACAACCAGTCATTTACATGGATTATATGATAGCATAACATGCTAACGTGAGTAATTATAGCCACGTTCTAACAGTCAGTTGTCAGTATGTAGTATTTTCCGTGCTGTTTTTTCCCCTTTAGATCTCTTTACAGACAGGACAGGCTTCATTTGGATTTATTCCCACTGTGTGACATTTACTGTGCTTCTTTTTTTGTTTTTGTCTAATAAAGAGAATAAACTGAACATTCCTGAGTTGGCTTCCTGTTTTCTCATCCTCGTTTTAATAGCGATTCAGGAAAATAATGTGAAAAAGTTTTCGTTCTTTCAGCTCAACTCCCTAAACAGCGTATATCTATTTATTCTCCATTGTTAAATAAAAAAGCCTTTTAAATTGTTTTGCTTTTTATGCTAATAACCTGCTAGGACCCTGTTTGAGGGCTCTAAGACCCTGTTTGAGGGCTCTAAGACTCTGTTTGAGAACCTTAAGACCCTGTTTGAGAACCTTAAGAACCTGTTTGAGGGCTCTAAGACCCTGTTTGAGAACCCTAAGAACCTGTTTGAATGCTCTAAGACCCTGTTTGAATGCTCTAAGACCCTTTTGTGGGCTCTAAGACCCTGTTTGAGAACCTTAAGACCCTGTTTGAGAACCTTAAGACCCTGTTTGAGGGCTCTAAGACCCTTTTGTGGGCTCTAAGACCCTGTTTGAATTATCTAAGACCCTGTTTTAGGGCTCTAAGAACCTGTTTGAGAACCTTAAGACTCTGTTTGAGGGCTCTAAGAACCTGTTAGAGAACCTTAAGACCCTGTTTGAATGATCTAAAACCCTGTATGAGAACCTTAAGAACCTGTTTGAATTTAATCAAATGTTTTTTCTGTTTGGTTCTGAGAGTGTAAATGACTTATGAATCACATGAACTTTAGTCCATTTTGTTTTATGTTAACTGCAGTTTTGTGGGAGAAGCTCTCTTTGCTGCCACCTGCTGGCAGACTTCTGTAAACGCACACACTGAAACTGAAACGCTTTCAGCTTTATTTCCATAGTTTCTTGTAAGGATGTTTTTACCCGCAAGCAGATCTTTACTTAAAGCTGCTTCATCAAACTGAAACCAGCTCAACAGCAAAACTAAGGAAATAAAAAGTGACAAAAACAGAGAAATTACTCTCTGAAAAAGAGCCTGATCTGTCAGACATCATACAAGATGAATGAGTGCATTAGGTATAAAACAACAAATTTTGTGTTTTAACAAAAGAAAGTGAGAAAAAATATGTTTCAGACAAAAAAAGCATAATTTTTCATGTTTTAATGACTAAAGATATTCCTATTCTAACCTGAAATGCACATTTTTAGTGTTTTAATGTGCAAAAATATGCATCTCTGACATGAAACGAACATTTTTAGTGTTTTAATGTGCAAAAATATGCATCTCTGACATGAA